GAACTGCTTATATTGTTTTTATTTAGCGTACAATATTTTGTGTCAGGTCGAAATATATTTTGCGGATTGCGCAAAAATAATCGATAACATTTCCAATTCACGACACAGTGAAAAAATAGATCTGGGTGAGGTAAATTCCAATGTGGAAAAGACCAGCTTGAACTGCTGGAAAGTAATTGTAATTTTGACCCAGACATTGAACATGGTGATTTACTTAGCATATAGTTGGAATCTGGAAAGCTTGACGAAAGCAATGGGGCTTAATGAATATCCATTGTCGGAGTTAATATCGTCGAGTGTTTTCTGCATTAGCACCGCTGTTATGTCCATGTTGGTCCACTATTTTTAATGAAAGCAGCTCAAGATGTGCGAACGAAATAATTAGTAATATGGTTTATCTTCTGGCTGGCACTAGTTTTAGTAGAATTTTTTTCATGCGTTTTAAAGGAGTAATTGTTACTTGAACTTTTAGAGACTGGAGCCGGAGTGTATTCTGTTACTACGAGGTAACGGTTAGTGATAAAGGGTTCAGCAGGCTTGGTAACATTACCAGTCAGCAACGAACAAGATTTGTTGCTAGTTTTCAACTTTTTTTCCTCCGAGGGAGCCGAAGTTTTAGATATGACATCGTATTTGGGTGGTAAACGAACTTTGACCGTTGCAACTTGGTCAGGCAATTGACAGTACAGTGGCTGGAAAATCACTTTCTTTTTTGCGTAGTTTTCGGCTACAGAAGCTACATTTGAATTTAATTTTCGGTACACAGAAGCAAATTTCTGAAAAATAGCCGTTGCAGTAAGTGTTACTGAACTAGCAGGCTTGTAAACCCCTAAAATAGTGGTGTGATCGTCGTTCAAAAAATCATTGAGTCCTTCAACAGTCGTGACCTTACTTGTTTGAACGCATATTTCTTTCTGGCGATGGCTGGTCGTTAAACAATAGATTGCCGAACCCCCGGACGAATTCGTAACAAGGCTCAAACAGTATGCATTTAAGTAGTTGATAGCTTTTTCTTTGGGCACTTCCAAAATCAATGATACCACTTCCCAAACCACACACTCCTTGTAATCGACTAATCGCGAGTCTAGTTCGTCGTCAAACATTAAAAGTTTCTTATTTAGTTTAGACTGCGAATGAATAACTATACCCGGATTATAAATAATTTGTGACGCTAACAAAAAAATAAATTACAGCACTTTGCTGGTTGGCTTAAGTACTATAAAGCTAAATCGCAATAATTTATTTTATTTTAAAATAGAAAAAAATTTAAAATATATGATCACTACTTAATACAGTTTTTATAAAGTAGAAAATTTATAAAGCGTTATAACAAGTTGTTTAACCTAGAATCCAGAAAATATCGTGGTTTCCTGAGAATGGAGCGAGCAGATCCTTGAGTTTCATTCCATCAATTGGTTCTACGCTTGGAATGGGCAAAGTTGGCTCAAGTCCGACTCTAGCGTCGGTAGCAACGACGGATTGAGAGCTGTATACAAAGATTTGGATTCCGAGTTTTTCCTTGTGCAAAATGACGTAAGCACCGCGGCCGTTACTACCACTGCACATGGCGATTCTGGCGGTGTTGACTTCAGGGTCAGTGCTGTCAAAACTAGTGAATCGCTCACCGTTGATGTAGAAGAATGGGCTTTCTCCAGCGATGAACGCTGCCATTTGGCCGTATTCACCTGTTTCCAAGTTGATGACGTCTCCCGCGTTGCTTTGAGCGGGATAGCTTTGTTCACTGTACCCAGGTGCTTCGGTTAAGTCACTGTGAAAATACCAGGCGTTCATTTTATCAGCAGACCAGGCAGCGATTAAAGCTCCGTCGCTACTCCACATCCCCCAAGCTTCAGTAGGAATGTCGCGAGGAAATTGTTCCTTGACCTTTTCCAATTCTCCTGTAGGGCCTTCTTCTCCTGCCAATATGCTTGTGACGTGTTCTGCAATAGATGCTTTAATTTCGTCTGACGCGAATTTAGCTGCTCCTGCCATTGTACGTTGTCTATTAATAAATAAAATTGATTTTTATCATGTTTGCATGCAGAGTTTTTGTGTCAATTATTATTTGACGCAAAACGTTTTTTTCAGATCAAATAAATGTGTTACTCCTCACCTTTACTTTTGACACATTTTCGTTACGATCACCGCGATTTGAGATTTTTTATCTTTTGATTGAATTTTTGTTCAGATTAATTTGCATCTAAATAAATTATTTTTCGTCTTTAATTTAATAATTGTATTCTTCTCATGTCTATGCAGTCTCCTTTGATAAATGTGGTCTTATGTGAGTAAGTTCTTGTTGTATAATATTGGTTAGACAATACTTAAGACTATTCAGTCATTTTGACGACTCTGTAGAGTGCAAAATAAACGTGAACGGTGTTCTCGTAGATGCAAATCTCGGTGAAGTGCGAGATGTTTTGAAGGAAGACACCAATTTGTTCAAAAACATAAGCCAACTTAATGTTGAAAAGAAATAATCGCACGCTAGAGCTTCAAGTCGCGTTTTTCAAGTGTTAGTTTGCGACGTGGGTAAAGATTTATGCAAGTACGAAATCAAATTAAACCAATTGTCTCGGTTGTTTTTCGTTGAAAACTTAATGGTCAATTTTTCAGGTGTATCTTTTTGCGATGCAGATTCAGTTTTGGTGAAGACGATGAAGTATTCGAATTTAATTTGATTGGGGTTCATGTAGGACAAGCCTGTCAATTTGTATAGCGCTGACATGAGCACGTTTATCTCTTCGCCACCGGTGCCTTCGTCCACCGAATTATCGTGTAATGCTAAGTGATATTCGGTTATCGTGATCTCTAGTTTTGGCGGCTTAGGATTACCTATTTCTTTAATGAAACTCAACTTGTTCTTGTAATCAAGCAATAGCAAATAGATTTCTTCTTTTTCTACTTCTGGCAAAACGCCACTTACCGCGGCGACGTCTGCCAGTAAAACGTTGTTGCAGAAATATCTCTGGAAAATGACTGGGTGGAAAGTGCAGATGAACAGACATTCTCCGTAATATTCGCCACATGACTGCCGAATTATCAGTATCACTCCGATCAAATCTCGTTTTTGATTTCGAACCGGGTAAATGTTGCTTTCGTTCATATTGAGGAAATCTTGTCTGAACTCTAAATTTATGCCGTTCAAACCTTCCATTCTCTGTCTGAAATACTTGATGATCGCTAAAATGTAAACGTATTTGAACTCAAGATCGATAATGATGTCGCCGAGCTTGTTGACCGATAGCACGAAGATTCGCTCAATATTGCGAATTACGTTTATAGAGATGATATCAGCGTATTCAATCTGTTTGTAGCTCGCTTTAGATTCTTCTTCATCTTCTATTTGATTACCATTTGAAAACGAGATAAATATTCTGTTCGAAGTGATAATTATTTTGCAGGGCTGCTTTATTTTGCGATTGTTAAAAATGTTTTGAAACAAATAAACAAACCCTGAACCGCTGTACACTTGAGATGATGCTTTGATGTTCAAACTATTTTTCAACTCAGACGAACTCGCTACTTTGAGTCTGTCCCAATTTTTGAGGTTAGATAGAAAATTAGTGCAGTTTTTGAGTGACGCCTGGCAATTAACAATGTTCCAGTTGCAATATGCCTCATCTTGATATTTGGAAGAGCAGATTCTGTGAACGAACGGAGACAATGAAGTACATAAAATATTGTATTTCTTAATTGTAGAAACATATTGCGACGCTTGCAGCGCATCCAACTGGGGAGAGCAGATTATTTGTGTGATTTCATTTTGAACTTTGTTTAAGTAGCATTTTTTTTCTTTGCTGTTTTCCAAATTTTCGACTTCGTAAAACATCGCACAGCAGCCGTTGGTGTGCAGTTGGTTAGGTATAACTTTGCGAATCAACAATATCAAACGATCTATGCCTTTATTCACGAGTTTCAGCAAATTGTTATTTGCATTAACATCGCTTAAACATAATCCTGACTTATTCTTCGTAGTTGGGTTGAAAAGCTTTAAAAAGTCTTTCGCGTGAAACTTGTCGAGGGCCAACTTGATCAATTCCACTAAACACGTTTCTGCGTTTGAAGCTTCGCTGATGACGTTGTCTTTCAAACCGTTGGCCATGATTAATAAATGAGCGATGCTATTTCCTCGCACATCAGTAGTAAAAAAAGACTCAGGAGAAATATTGTGTATTATTGGCAGCAGATTCGTGTAATTTCGCGTGATGCATAAGTGGGCATAACCCATTCCGCTCAGCGGAAAAAAATTTTCAGCGGACAATAGTAGCGGATCTACAGACTGCAATTGTGCCTTGTTTCTAGTCAAAATGTTACGTATGCAAAACTCGTTGATCGAGTTCTTCTGAAACAAATTTTGCTTACATATCATCTCGATTTCTAAGTTCAATAATTCATTAACAATTTCTGCTTCTTCAGCCCACGAAGTCGCTTTTCTTTCGATCAAATCTTTGATGATGTCATGTACGTCAACGATTTTGTCATCCTGACTGTTACTATCCTTTTTCGAGCTTGCCGGGTTGGTTGAGGCCGAGTTCTGATTTCTTAAAACAGTATCGTTTGGTATTTTCGAAGCTTCCTCGCAAACCATTTTGTTCAATCGGTGCTCTAACAAGCTGAGCTGCTTTTCCAACTTTTTCTTATCATCTTCCAAATTGTTCAAAACGTTGTACAAGCGACTTTCACGTTTCGTCAAGTATAATTTGATAAGTTCTAAATTTCCATTCAACTCGGTAATGATTAAATCATTGAAATAATCAGCGTCTTGATTGCCGAGTTGTTCAATTGTAATTATATCGTCGATTTTTTCGTTATCACTTTTGAAATCCGCAATAATATCTACCATAGCGATGATAATTATGCTCGCTTGAAGATTTCAATTAAATTATATTTTATTCGATTTTAGCTTTATTTAGACGATCATTAAATTTAATTTTGGTTGAGATTTTTTTATCAGAAGGCCAATATCGGATGTAATAAAAATTCTTAAATTCATAAAAATGGATCGCAAAGAATTGTTGGAAAAGTATGTGGTCGCTGTAAAAGAACATCGCATAATTGAAGCCAACGTCAAGAACAGTAAGTACGCAGTGTTTGAAGTTTAATTTTTTAGAAAGGGCTGAAATAAAAAAATTTCAAAAATCGTTTGAAAGAGCAAATGACAATCTTAAGGCTCTTCAGACCACGGGTATGCTTGTAGCTGAAGTTTTGCAGATTTTGGAAAAAAGCCGTTTCATCATCAAGTCTAGTGCCGGACCACGTTACATTGTTGGCTGCAAACCATCAATCGAAAGCAAAGTGAAAATCGGGTCGCGGGTAAGCTTGGATCTTACGACTTTAACTATCATGACTATCTTACCGCCTGAAGTCGATCCAGCAATTTTCGCCATGGCCAAGGAAGAACCTGGGCTGGCTGATTACAGCGAGATCGGCGGTTTGGCCGAGCAAATTAAACAAATTAGAGAGGTTATTGAATTACCGTTAAAAAATCCAGAATTATATCAAAAAGTAGGAATCAAGTGCCCCAAAGGAGTGCTGCTATACGGGCCTCCGGGAACAGGAAAAACCCTTATCGCCAAAGCGCTCGCTTCCTCAATGAATTGTTCTTTTCTAAAAATTGTTGCCAGTTCGATCGTAGACAAATACATAGGTGAAAGTTCGCGTATTATTCGAGACATGTTCAACTACGCCAAAGCGAATGCGCCATGCATTATGTTCATCGATGAAATCGATGCTATAGGAGGAAAACGTACTAACGACGGAAGCAGTAGCGACCGAGAAATTCAAAGAACCATGATGGAAATGCTCAGTCAACTCGATGGGTTTAAAGAACTCGTAAATGTAAAAGTTTTATTTGCAACTAACAGGCCAGATGTATTAGATAGTGCTTTGCTTCGCCCAGGTCGTATCGACCGCAAAATTGAAATTCCCACGCCTAACGCAGCGGCACGAGCTGAGATTCTCAAAATTCACTCGAAAAAAATGATTCGTAAAGGAGACTTTGATTTGGAAAGTTTGGTCAAATTGACTGAAGGATTCAATGGTGCAGATATTCGTAACGTTTGTACGGAAGCTGGTATGTTTGCCATTCGAGCGGATCGTGACTACGTTATCGAAGACGACTTTTTAAACGCCATTCGAAAGATCCACGCAGCAAACAAACTAGTTTCAAAGCTGAATTACAAACAAGTATAAAACTCTTTACTATTACCAAATAATCTTTAAGGTGTTTCTTCTAAACTGACAAAACTAAAGTTAAACCATCTGTTAAAAACTCTAATTCAGTATAAGCCAGGAAGAAATAACGGAGTCCTTTTGTATGGCGTTATTTTCTACTGCAACTTTGGCCTTTTTAGTCGTTTTTACCTTTTTGACTTTCGTGCCAACTGGAGCTTTATCTTGCTTAACTATTTTCTCTTTTATGTCAAAATATGAGAAAGCCCTTGTAATTTTTAACTTTGTTTTACTATCTAATTTTTCATAAACTTTGTTAGCCATGTTGAACCTAGAATCAATAATGAGAGAATCGAATTCAGCCTTGCTTTCAATGTTGACGTTCTTACAATATTCTATCAAAACGTCAAGAGCTTCTTTATCGTTATTAGAACTAAAACCTCCAATCAAAATATCACCGATCAATTCGTGGTAACCTGTTAACAACAATTGAGAAACAGAAGAACAACCTACTTTGTAACATAAGCTAGAGTATATATCGTTGTATTTCTTATTAGAGTTGCCAATTGTTTTCGGAAATTCTATTCTGAAATTCACTTCTGAACCTATAAATTCCATAGGGTAGGCTGTTGAAAAAGCGCCAACATGAGGTAGCAAACTCCAATTATTAGTGCGGTTCAAAATGGTATTTATATTGTTTGCCAAGATCATTGAACTGTATCCGTTTTTGAACTGAGCAAGGTCTTTTACAGTGGAATGTGTCAATTGGGTTTTTGAAAATGACTTATTAAAGTTCTGTTCAACAAACAATGGCATCAAAGAATAGTCTGTGTAAAAGTATTTCATTCGCTCTTCAATTGATAGAAACCGTGCGTTAACAAATAATTTTTTCACAGTTGTGTAAATTGTATCGTAAACTTCTTGGTTCTTGACGAAGGCTTGAGAATCGTTTGTGAAGTTAAGTAACATTTGACATGTGTTCATAAAATATCGTAAATCTCCATTAGATTTTTCAAAACAAGCTTTTGCTATGTCTAAGTTAAATGGCACGGATTCTTGCTTGCATATTGATTTAACTCGTTCAATTGCTTTGTTAGACAAGCAACGAACAAACCCAATGCTATAAGACAATTTTATAATTGCATTTAATTGGGTCGAGTTTATGTTGTTGCATGTAAGAATGATTGGGTTCTTTGCAAGGGTTATCAAATTAACCAGTTCACTAGCACCTCCATAGTCTCCTGCACCGAGACCATCGATTTCGTCCATCAAAATTAAAAATTTAGTCACTAGTTCCCCCTTATGCAGAATAGACGAGCCTACAACTAAATCTACTAATTGCCTTAATTTGGCCTGAGAACGCGTGTCACTGGAGTTAAATTCAATTAAATGATAGTTCATTTCTTTGGCTAAAACAATTACAGAACTTGTTTTTCCAGTTCCAGGAGGCCCGTGAAGTAAAGCTGATTTTAGAGGTAAACTAGGATTCCAATTTGTTAACCAAGTCCTGAGTTCGATGTATGCCTGAGAGTTTCCGGCAAAATCTGACAATTTGGTAGGTCTGTATCGATCGCTCCAAAGTATGTAATTTGGATTGTATTGAATGATTTCTTCAGGTGTATCATTGTTCAGTTTTGATTCATGTTTTGAATTCGTATCTTTGAACTCAAATATAGAACTGAAAGCTTCGTAAAAGTCTTTTTCAGAATAAATTTTCAAATCTCCTTTGGATTTATTAGTTTCAAGCAATTCTTTAGCTTTTGTGTATTTTTTTCCAAACGTGTAAGGCCTTCCATCTTCCAGTTTTTCACCATGAATCAGTATATTTGTCAAACCACTTACGGAACCAATAACGGTTGCACCAGCTTGCTTGAGCCTATTTTCCAGAGTCGACCTAGAAATCATGGAAAACTCACCAGTAACCACAATTTTTTTGTTTATTAAACTCAAATTGGCTTTACTATTTTGTATTTCATGATCAATATCTGACATTAGCCATATTTGTAATAATAAAAACTATTATTAGTAATTATAGTTCTGTATTAATCGAAGTGTAAATCAATTTGAAATAAGTTTTCGATTACAAATTAAAAACTTTCGAGACCTGTAATAAATAAAAATATAAAATTTCTTTTTATAATACAATGTATAATTGAATTATTTTTCAAGAGATGTATTTAAGCTAATTGTTCGGCGAATTATTTTGTAAGAAATGATACCCGAAGAACGAGATGCGCCAAATGTTGGTCCTCTAACGATGCTTCAAGAAGCAGTCAACAATAACTTTCAAGTTATTATTTTGTGCCGAAATAATAAAAAAATTCTAGCAAAAATAAAAGCATATGATCGACATTGTAATGTGTTGCTCCGGAATGTAAGAGAGTTCTGGACTGAAAAAATTTCAACTGTCGATGAAAACGGTAACAAAATCAAAAAGAAGGTAATCAAAGACCGCTTTTTTTCATATTTACTACTTAGAGGTGACAATATCGTTTTAGTGTTGAAAAATCCTAATTAACATAACCTAAGCATTGTTATCATATTTTTTTTGGAAAAGTACCAAAATATTAAATTAGATTGTTTTCCTATAAAGATAACTTACTACACACTAAAAATAAATTTTTTGGAATGCCAGTATCTTAAGTCTTATCTGTATTGATTATTCATTTAATTAATCTGCACAAAGCCACCAGCTTGAGTAATGAATTGTTTGCTACTTGAATTAACTTGTTATCAAAACACGTTTGCCGTCTGAGTTTTTTTTGAATTCTGTACAAAACACAAGTAAAAATTTATCATTATATTGAACATTCAAAATGAAAATTACGCCAGATGCAGAGCAGCTTTCTATCTACATGCGTTTAATTGGTATGCATTCACGCTTGACGCCAGTGGAAGTTAATGAAATAGTAACGGTACATCAATTACGATTCAAAGTTCTAGCAAAATACAAAGCACTAGGAAACGTAGCTTTTATTGTGTTCAAGGAAAAACGTGAACAATTCCATAACAGAATGCCTCAAATTGTAAATGAAAGAAACAACTATAAGTCTCATATTATTGTTTGTTTTAACTGGTTTAGTCCCCAAGGCTTATTAGACTTAATATGCTTAGGAGGCAAAATTTTGAAAAGTGGAAGCACTTTAGACAACGAGGTTCAGATGTTTAATGACGTTCACTATGAAAATGCGTTGAAAATGATGAAAGACGACAGTTTTATTAATTCAATTATAAACGAAATAGAGCTTTATGGGCCAAATGCACTGATAACTCTTGTGGGTTTCAGTATGGGAGGATGTATTGCTTCTATAATTGGGTATAAATTAAAAAAAAAATACCAAGACCAGCTACGATTTCGTTGTATTGGTATAGGATCTCCACGTCCGGGCAATGAAAAGTTTATAGAGTGGTATAAAGGCGCAACGGATGAAAACAGCTATTTTGTTCTGCTACGTGAAAATGGAGTTATTGATCCCGTAGCTCTCGATCCCCCTATGTTTGCGCCGCATCCACGCTGCTTCATTTTGCAAGAAGGTAATTTTTTCGCCATCGCCCCGGAAAATTTGCAGGCCATTTCAAATCAGACAGCAGACGAAAATTGCGAAGCGTGGAATAAAATGCATTCGATTTTAAATTATTATGAAAAGCTGAACCCTGTTAAGTGTGAAAAAACAATATATTAAAAGCAATTACCAAACTGATATTAAAAATCTTCGTTTAAAAAACACGTTACATAAGACTGTCACTAATTGCAAAGAATAATTCTGTCGTTCACTGAGCCGGATAGTAATTTAAACTTTATATATTTTATTTTTATAATTTATCATACTTATAATTATTTTGAAACAATAAAAGTCGGAAAGTATAATGGAAGTCGAAGTGGATAGAGCTGATTATAACGAAAAGCTTACCTCGTTGTTGCCACAAATCCCACAAACTTCCGTTTTAAATGTCAACAAATCATTTGTGAAAATAGATCGAGGTACTACGACGTTGGCGTTTAAATACGCCGGTGGAGTTATTGTAGCGTGTGATTCCCGGGCTAGCCAAGGTTCTTTCATTGCCTCGCAAACGGTGAGAAAGATAATTGAAATTAATCCATACACACTCGGTACAATGGCTGGTGGCGCAGCCGACTGTAGCGTATTTGAGCGATATTTGTCGCTGATTTGTGCCATTGAAGAGTTGAACAACGACAGGCGAGTCAGCGTTACTCGTGCGTCTAAGATCTTGGCCGACAATCTGTACCACTACAAAGGCAAGGGTTTATCTTGTGGTACGATGATAACTGGCTGGGACATAAACGAAAATTGTGCGAAATTGTACTTTGTTGACGACACAGGTTACAGAGAGGAAGGCAAATTGTTTTCTGTAGGAAGTGGATCACGGTACGCTTATGCAATTTTGGATTCCGGCTACAAATATGACTTAACAAACGACCAGGCATACGAATTGGCGATGAAGGCAATTTTCTTCGCAGGGCACCGTGATGCGGCGAGTGGTGGCGTAGTTCGTATTTACCACATAACTGCGGCTGGTTGGACCAAGATAGTAGACGCGGCTGACTTTGATATATTGTATGATAAATTTTGCCCTAAAAACTAGTGTATGTCTGAAAATAAGCGGCAAGGTCCAATCCAGAAATAAAAGAGATTAAAATTTGTTTATTAAATGCATAGCTAAATATCTCAAAATTGTAAATATTGTTTGATTAATTAAATCTAAGGAGATTGAAATCTGCGCTGATCAGGACCGGATTTCAGGACATGAAGAATGACAACACCATCGAGCAGCACGCCATATTCAGCCGAACTACAGACTTTTATGCTGACAAAGTTTGATCCTTTGTTGCGGGTCGTAAAAGCGTTGAATGAACGGCTGCAAGTGGCAAATAAGAGTTAGTTTTTGCATTACACATTTGTGTAGAAATTAGCAACTTGGAAGATGAAATGTTGATATTGAAAAAAGAGCTGGAAGAATTTCACAATCAATTTTCAAGGCCCAAACATTTACCAATGGAT